TGTTAGGTTTAGGGTTAGGTTTAGGGTTAGGTTTAGGGTTAGGTTTAGGGTTAGGTTTAGAGTTAGGTTTAGGGTTAGGTTTAGAACTCGCAGTTATTGCTTGTTTTTGAAGGCACGCTTTTGTCAGCGCGCTGTTGTCGTCGGGCTTCTGCGCTCATTCGTCGGCGCGATTTAGAACTTGTGGTTTTCTCGCCGCGGTTTCGGCGGCGCGCTTTTGTCAAGCACGCATTTGTCGGTGAACCTTAGTCGTCAACTTACAACTATTGATTTAGCAACTGTCTGAAGTTACAACAGCACTGAAGGGAATTACAAGGACTTACAAATGATCTTCCCACTTGTGAGTGTCACAACATTCCCATGGTCACGTGGTCAAAATACAGGCACTTGGCAATCAGGTATTTACAATGGTTGCAGCATCCTGGGGTCACATGATTGTCATTTACAACCTTCCCAGCTGGCTTCCAACAAGCAAAGTCAATGGGGTTCACTTAACAGCTGCAGTGATTTACGGAACAACATGGCAAAAAAAAAAGATTGTAAAATCAGGCACAACTCACTTAACAACCCCTTTGGTTAGCAATGGAAATCCTGATCCTAATTCTGGTTGTTAAGTCAAGAACTACCTGTCCAGCGGATTTACAGCACACACATTTGACGCTTCCCGGATACAGCTGTTTGAGTGCTTTACCTTTGTGATCTCTTCCTTCTGCTTACAGATGTTTCCAACAATCTCCAGGATGCGCTGGGTATAGGCAGAGCGAGAGATATCTTTGGGAAGAGATTCCACCTCTACAAGCTGCACATGGAGAGAAAACAGGGAGAGGAGCACAAGGGTATGTTTGTTGTTCTGAAGGAATTAAGTATTCCTGGCACAGTACAGTATCACACTTTTGCCAGCAGGAATTGAACCTTGGAATATTTAAAATTTAGCTATATTGGCAAGCAGAGATATCAGATAGGAATAGTACTGTATCCTAGGAAATCATTTTTTTTTTATAGTTAGTAACATTTATAGGACCTACAACATTTCTAGAAAGGCTCTATGTAATGTATTTTCACCCCATGCAAAATATTTTGTAATTTCCCAATTAGAAAAATTAGAACAAACATTAGGTAAAGGTAAAGATTCCCCTAGCATATATGTGCTAGTTGTTCCCAGAGCCGAGGTGGCGCAGTGGTTAAATGCAGCACTGCAGGCTACTTCAGCTGACTGCAGTTCTGCAGTTCGGCGGTTCAAATCTCACCGGCTCAAGGTTGTCTGAGTCTGCCTGCCCGCCGAGGTGGGTCATTTGAGATCCCGGATCGTTGTAGGGAGCA